TGCAGCGGCTCGAGGCACATAACCCGGTCAGCGAGCGGTGATAGGCTCAAGTGAGTGACCAGCGGGGGTGGGGGTAAGCTGCCGGCCCACTTCTGACTTTGATGCAGTCCCGTCCTCGAACGCGAGGAAAGGTTCCAATGGTCCGAAGTCCGCCGCGGCATCTTCAACGTCCAGGTCTGGCTGTCGTCAACGGCGTACTTTGCCATTCTTTCGGGGTTGTACAGCTTCGGCCTATTTGTCAGTCATCACCTTCAGGTCTCACAACCTCAAGGTTAACCTGTCCCCCAGCTCCCAACCATCATCAACGACATGCACATCACCTCCTCGGCAAACGAGACTCAGCTCTGGTCCGTCATCCCGTACGCCGTCGCAACTCCCATCACCGGTAGGCCAGCCCCCCACACCCTCGCCCCCTTCCACTCAACTACTGACACCACACACACAGTCCTCATCGCCCTCCTCTCGGACCGGCTCAACCTGCGCGGCGGGCTCATGCTCGCCACGCTGCCCATCGCGATCGCGGGGTACGCGGTGATCGCCAACGTGGCGTCGGCGCCGGCGCGCTTCGCCATGACCTGCCTGATGGCGATCGGCATGTACGCCAGCGTGCCGTGCGTGCTCGTCTGGAACTCCAACAACTCGGCGGGCCACTACAAGCGCGCGACGACGTCGGGCCTGCAGCTGGCGGTGGCGAATTGTGGGGGGTTTGTGGCGAGTGAGTTTTCCTTTTTTCTTTCTTTCTCCCCTTGGGGGCTTGAAGGGGGTTGGGTGGGGGGTTGGAAGATGCTGACTGTGAGAACCTGATAGCGTTTGTTTATCCGAGCCACGAAGGGCCGCTGTACCACAAAGGCCATACCATTATTCTGGGGCTGTTGGTGTATGCTTGGTTCGCGTAAGTGCCATGCCCTGCCCCAGCATATCCCGATGCCTGGCTGACAAAATGTTAGGATCCTGGCCAACGTCTTGTGGTGTGCAAAGATCAACCGCGACAAAAAGGACGGCAAGTATGCAGAGTTCGAAGGGTGCGGCGACGATCGGGATCCGGCATTCAAGATGGTGCTATGAGGTTTTGAACTTTGGCAGTATGTCGAATGGGAAGATGTGACGACAGAGATATAGCCATGCGCTGCCAAGCTGCGGTGTAAACCCCGACTTCCCTGCTTGGCACCCCTATTAATCTGATCAAAGAAGAATCAGCGATAAGATGCGTGCCAACAGTCAACAAGCAAAAAGTAAGAGTCTGTTCAGGAAACAAAAGTCGACACGAGCCGGATTTGAACCGACGCCTCCGAAGAGATGAGATTTCGAGTCTCACGCTTTAGACCACTCAGCCATCGTGCCCTTGACGAGAGGATCGGGCTGGTTGTGGGGATCATGAGATGTGGAGGCAGTGCGGGTGGAGTTGCAAACAGGAGTGACCGTGCCCGCTGCGCGCGGGCACGCCAAAGGAAGCCTGGAGGAACTTGCCGGCTGCAGGTAGGCCCCATAGCGGAGTCAACGATGTAATTTTTAAAGGCGGAAGAAGAAGCCATCTTGACTGCAATGGAATTATAAACAGTATCAGGAGATGATTGTAGTTTAGGTCAGAAAATGGGGATGGAAAGAACGTATTGAGTTCCTTGGATTGCGAAAATGGAGCACCGCGGTGTAAAAAAGGTGGCCTCTAGCACCGGCTTGACCTCATCGCCGATGTATGACGCCGCATTCTTGAGTCTCCAGTAAGCTATATCGTCATCTAGGGGCTTCAGTAATCAGATCCCGTAAAGATTAACCTCTGTGGCGTAATCTCTCAGAGCTGATAGGTTCCGTGTATTTTGTGCGTCAAAGAAGCAATTTGCTTCGCTACCCTTCGTCACGTAGACGACCATCGAGCCGTAGGCCTTGCTTGTATCCTTCCTGCTGAGCCAGGCAATCTTGGCAATGTTGACGTTGTTCTCTGTAGTCGTGGTTCCAGGAATGGGACGTCATGGCCGAATCAGCGCAGAGTGAAGCTGCTGACGAAGAAGCGGGTGAGTCGCTCTAGTAGTAGTAAACCTCATCTTTCGCCACTTTTTGACAGAAATCCGATTTTTTTGTTCGTGTTCGTGATTGTCAAGGAATGCGCGACGGAGGCATGCAAAAGCAGGAGCGAAGCAGCGAGTCACAGGGGCCCTGATGCCAAGTGCGGGTTAGCGGCTTTTCTCCGGCGATCCGATTGGCCAGGTGTCGAAGCATCAAATGATCCGTGCACCTCCACCGCTAAGACTAACTGCGAGATGCTGATTCAAGGAAGCAGAATGCAGATGACGCCAGATTTCGAGATGCTATCGAGAGAAGTCGAAAAGAGAAAAAGCCAAAACTCTACAGTGAGAAGTCGACAGTACAGGTTCAAAATGACACCGTTTTTTCAGTGGGGACATGTCCGAAAAAGAAAAGAAACTAGTCCGTGCTTGGAGCAGGCCATGGCATTTTCGACCTAAGGAACCTGGAGTTCCTCCAGGCACAAGAGGGCCTGGAGGAACGCGCCGGCGCAATTAGCCCACGGCCGCATCACAATGTCGTCGTGCGATTAGTTTTAGGATGGCTCATGAATGTTGGGAAGCAAGCAAGAGCAGTTCTTTGGTCAATTTCAGAAGTTAGTAATACAGCACAGCGGTGCTCCAGGGCTGGCTGGTAATTTCGAGCATGGTTTGGTGACGAGAATGGGTTTCTACTTGCAACTCCCACAGAGCCAACTGGTACAAAGCGACTGAAATCTGCAAAAAGAGCTAACAACTCAGTTAACGTACTGAACGAGATTAGTCCCGAACAAGAAACAGATATCTTGCGCTAGCGTAAATAAGGTAGTTAACGTTTTTTAGTTCCTGAGGCAGCCGGACACCCGTTATTCCAACAGATGAGATGGCTGCCGCAAAAAGCAGTTTCTTGGCATTGATCACTCCCAATCATGCCATCCGGCGGGCTAGAGGTTGCTGTATGCAAGCGCCCACAGCATCAGGGCCCCCAACGTGGGTGTGTGTAATTGGTGAGAGCCTGTTTTGCGGCCTGATCCCGCCCGGCCTGATCCTTTTCAGCTTGCTCTCGTTTTTCTATGGCAACTGTTGTACAAGGCTGCGCTCCCCAGTGTGATAAAACAATATGTCGTTGTCACGTCGCCTCTCTCTCCTCGGGTGACTCAATTCCAGCTTCCGTCAATGTAGGCCAACCATATAATCCTAACATTCTGCTCGTCAATCTGACGGTCTCATCCGCTTTCATCCGCACCATGACATCCCACAATGCGCTCGACAGCCCCGACCACTATGGGGTCGCTTGGATCGCTGCTCTTCCCATCGAGCGGGCCGCTGCAAAAGCGATGCTCGACGAGGAACATGCGCCTCCAACTGGCTTCGTTAGACACGAAACCGATGCAAATGTTTATACATGGGGTCGGGTGGGTGAGCACAACATCGTCATCGCCTCTCTTGCCGCCGGAGTTTATGGAACTACCTCGGCTGCGACCACGGCCTCGAGCCTGCTTGCCTCTCTACCATCCATCCGTGTTGGTCTTTTGGTCGGCATAGGCGGCGGCATCGCCCGACCGGACGAGGATTACGATATACGGCTCGGCGACGTTGTCGTGAGCCAGCCCGACGGGACCACAGGCGGCGTCTGCCAGTACGACTTAATCAAGGCCAAGTCTGGTGACAGGCGTGAGCGCAAAGGCTTTCTCAGACCACCTCCGACCGTCCTCCTTAATGCGCTTGCCAGCATCCAGGCCGATCACGAGTCGACGGACTCCAAGGTTCCCAACTTCCTTCAACAGATGCTAAAGAAGAACCCGAAAATGAATAGAAGATCCAAGCAAAGTCCTGGCTATATTCACCAGGGCACCGACAACGACCGGCTCTTCCAACCTTCATGCGACCACGTCCCCGGGTCGGACTGTCGGGGCTGTGACACGGCTGACGAGGTTAAACGCGATGCTCGAGACACCACCGACCCCGAGATACACTACGGGACTATCGCATCCGGCAACTCGCTTGTCAAAGACGCCGCCACGCGTGATCGGATTGTTGCCGACGTTGGCGTGGACTGCATCTGCTTTGAGATGGAAGCAGCCGGCCTGATGAACCACTTTCCCTGTCTTGTGATCCGAGGGATCTGCGACTACGCGGATTCCCACAAGAACGATCGATGGCAACGCTATGCCTCGGCCACCGCCGCTGCGTATGCCAAGGAGCTCCTGGCGTACGTGCCGGTCGCGGAGGTTCATGAGACCAAAAGGGCACTGGAAGTGCTTAATCAAGTTAGTGACCCTATATTCTCCCACGGGGGCCTTGGCAAGCGAATGATCAAGGGACAGTAATAATCCCTCTTTGAAGACATTCTGACCTGCATTGCTTCAACAGAAACTCGATAGTGTGCAGCAGACCACAGCTGCAGCGAAACTGGCCACTGATTCCATCCAGGCCGACCTTCGTACCGAGAAGATCGAGCGCTGGCTTCGACCCTCTGATCCGTCTACAAACGCCAACCACGCGAGGGAGCTCCGCCATGAGGGGACAGGTGCGTGGCTCTTGGAAAGTCCGGTCTTCCAAGAGTGGCACTCGGGGTCGCGTCGATATTTATGGCTGCATGGGCTCGCGGGATGTGGAAAGACGGTTCTCAGTGCGACTGTGCTGGATCATCTCGCAAAGGGAAACGACCGTCGTATCCTCAGCTTCTTCTTTGACTTTAGCGACACGGCAAAGCAGACCGTGGATGCCATGCTGCGGTCACTTGCTTTCCAACTCTACCGAGGTAGGGCTCGTTCTGCAAGTGTACTTGACGCCTCATTCCAAGCACACCAGGATGGCCGCAACCAACTTGCAACGAAGACGCTCTCAGATGTTTTATTCAAGATGGTCGCAGTCCAGAAGAAAGTCTCTATCGTTCTGGATGCCTTAGACGAGTCGAGAACGAGGGCCGACCTACTCCTCTGGATTAAGGACGTAGTGTCCAGGCCAGAGCTGGGCCACGTCCAGCTGATCTGTACCGGTCGGCCTGAAGCCGAGTTCCTGCGCGACATCCCCCCGTTGATAGGCGAGGGAAACAGCTTAGAACTCAACAAGCAGGCTGTCAACGCCGACATCCGATCATACGTCGCAGCACAGCTTTCGCAACGACGCGAATTTCGGGACAAGCCCTTGTCGCAGGATCTCCTCGAGCTGATCCAGAGTAAGGTTGGAGACGGGGCCGGCGGGATGTGAGATATCACTGCTTCGATCCATATGCTGATGGTTTGCTGACACGGTGCTTAGGTTCAGGTGGGCGTTCTGTCAATTGGATAGCCTAGCTCGATGTCGTCATGAAGCAGCTATTGAGGAGGCTCTCGCATCTTTGCCGCGGACCCTGGAAGACACGTACCGACGCATGATTGAATGCATACCGATGGAGCTTAAAAACGACGCGATGCGGCTCCTGCAGTTTCTAGTGCACTCGACGCGACCTCTCAAGCTGGCCGAGGCTAAAGAAGTAATAGCAACGCAGATCGAAAACGAGCCGCGAGGGTTTGACGTCAAGCGTCGACTGTTTTGCGATACTGATGTTTTAGACTACTGTCCTAGCTTAGTGACAGTCGTTCACGCCGCCAGCAAAGAGCTACATCTTGCCCACTTTTCTGTCAAAGAGTACCTTCTCAGAGACGAGCGGTTCAACATTACGATTGCTAGCATTCCCATTGCGAGGACGTGCTTGACTTATCTTACGGACATAAACGGTAACCACGAAGAGATTAAGCGGGATTTTCCAATGGCAAGATTTGCGGCGGAAGTCTGGACATACTATGCCACGTTCGCTCAGGCTTCAAAAAATGTGGTTCAAACAACTGTTAGGTTCCTAGAAGAGGAACTGACGTTTCAGCGGTGGGCTCGTTTGTATCAGTCTGATAGGGCTTGGGACGATGACCCAGGTCCTCCACTAGGTTCCAGGCTCTATTATGCTTGCTTCGCTGGGCTCGTGACACCTGCGCAAATTCTTATCAGAAAAGGAGCGGACGTCAACGCGCAGGGCGGCTTCTACGGCAACGCTCTCCAAGCCGCCTCATTGGAAGGCCATCAAGAGATTGTCAAACTGCTGTTGGACAAGGGAGCAGACGTCAACGCGCAGGGCGGCCGATATGGCAACGCTCTCCAAGCCGCCTCATCGAAAGGCCATCAAGAGATTGTCAAACTGCTGTTGGACAAGGGAGCAGACGTCAACGGGCAGGGCGGCGGATATGACAACGCTCTCCAAGCCGCCTCATTGGAAGGCCATCAAGAGATTGTCAAACTGCTGTTGGACAAGGGAGCAGACGTCAACGGGCAGGGCGGCGGATATGGCTACGCTCTCCGAGTCGCCTCATCGAAAGGCCATCAAGAGATTGTCAAACTGCTGTTGGACAAGGGAGCAGACGTCAACGCGCAGGGCGGCCGATACGGCAACGCTCTCCAAGCCGCCTCATCGAAAGGCCATCAAGAGATTGTCAAATTGCTGTTGGACAAGGGAGCGGACGTCAACGCGCAGGGCAGCTTCTACGGCAACGCTCTCCAAGCCGCCTCATCGAAAGGCCATCAAGAGATTGTCAAATTGCTGTTGGACAAGGGAGCGGACGTCAACGCGCAGGGCAGCTTCTACGGCAACGCTCTCCAAGCCGCCTCATCGAAAGGCCATCAAGAGATTGTCAAATTGCTGTTGGACAAGGGAGCGGACGTCAACGCGCAGGGCAGCTTCTACGGCAACGCTCTCCAAGCCGCCTCATCGAAAGGCCATCAAGAGATTGTCAAATTGCTGTTGGACAAGGGAGCGGACGTCAACGCGCAGGGCAGCTTCTACGGCAACGCTCTCCAAGCCGCCTCATTGGAAGGCCATCAAGAGATTGTCAAACTGCTGTTGAACAAGGGAGCAGACGTCAACGGGCAGGGCGGCGGATATGGCAACGCTCTCCGAGTCGCCTCATCGAAAGGCCATCAAGAGATTGTCAAACTGCTGTTGGACAAGGGAGCAGACGTCAACGCGCAGGGCGGCCGATACGGCAACGCTCTCCAAGCCGCCTCATTGGAAGGCCATCAAGAGATTGTCAAACTGTTTGAAAAGAGGGGCAGTATGACATCGTCTTTGAAGCGCTCCAGCTCCTGAATTCCAGGCAACCTGAAAAAAAAAACTTCATCTTATGGTCCCTGAACCAGTTGATCAAATGGCCAATCGAGAGTAGAAGCTTGTTGCGATGCGTCTTGGGTTCGGGTTCTAGATTTTCGATCATCCAGGTGGAAATGGGGAAGTCTGTAGGATAGCCGCCATCTCCTGTTGATACCTCTCGTGCAAGAAGCCTTCGTCCCAAGAAAGGAATCAGTTTGTACGCGGGCTAAACCGGGACCTTCAGTATGAGCAGCATCCACTGGCCGTGTTCGTAGGAAATCCAAAGCTGAGGTCAATAGGAGTAGGTTCTTATTGATCTTAAAGTCGCTGTAGATAGCGAGCTTGGTCTCGGCTAACTATCGCATTTCAACCACACATGACACTCCAGGTGGGTAACGACGGCGGCGTCGGGACGAACATCGAGAGCATCGATCCTCAGGAGCATTACAAAGCCTTCCTGAATGTCCTACCCGCGGTCCGACGTAGCGAAATCAAGGATATGAAGGGGCGAGGGCAGTTGACCCAAGCCAGGACGACAACACTGCTGCCCAGCGTGGTCGCCATTTCTATACCATGCTACAGGACCTCCAAGATTCGCCTTTCCGCGGCATGGGATTGCCCAGCCGCGAGGAGATCGACGCGGTATTGAAGGTCCAGAAGAAAGAGGACAGCAGCGTGACGGCGAAGATCCAGGGCAAGCAATCGAGTCCGTCTTCTGCGCATGCCGGCGAGCCCCACGGAAGCCCACGGTGGCCCGTTCACAGAGGCGAAATATCGCCAGAAGGGGTCGGTCCGGGCGGACGGATGCGGCTCGAGCTCGGACGTTATGCAACATACGTCGATGTGGCCTTGGGCCTCACAAGGCACTGGACTCTGAACAAGCTCCAGTCGATGGCAGTCTTGCTACCGGCGGCGTTCCTCGACGAGCGCGGCACGCGGCTGCAGGAAGAGGGAGGTCCGCAGCATTTCCAATACGTCGGCGGCGAGGGCGGCACAGGCAAGTCCCGCGTCATACACGCCATCAAGGACATGTTCCGACTGAAGGACGGTCTTCACACGCTACTCCTGACGGGCGCCAGCGGTAACGCGGCCGCGCTTATCGGCGGAGTGACGCTGCACTCGGCGGCGAACATTGCATTCGAGGGCAGGGCAGCGACAGCAAAGAACGTCTCAGAAGAAGAGAAGCTGCGGTGGAAAAACATGATCATGCTGGTTATCGACGAGATCAGCCAGGTGGGCGGTCTCACGCTCGCGGCGGTGGACAGCCGCCTGAAGCAGTACAGAGACGACCAGCATCGACCGTTCGGCGGGATCCCAATGGTCATGTTCTTCGGGGACTTCTTCCAGTTCGACCCCGTCCTGCAGACCAGCCTCCTCTTGCCAACGCCTAGGGACCGCGGCGGACAGAGACCAGAGAGCTTGGCAAAGCACCTAGCTGCGCATAGGCTGTTCCTCCAGTTCACGAACGTCGTCATCCTCCGCGAACAGGTCCGCGCAGCCGGCTGTCCAAGGCTGCGGGGCTTCCTCCGGCGCCTGCGCAACGGTGATCAGACCGAGCTGGACTTCCAGCAGCTATGCCACCGCCTCCATACACCGTCGTGCGAGTCCTCCTTCGTAGATGGCTTGAGAGCCATCACGCCTCTGAACCAAGACCGGTGGGACCTGAACATGGCGGCCGTCGTCCAGTGGGCTCGTGCCCACGGCAAGCACATCTCCATCTTTGTGGCCAAGCACGATACTGAGTCGGGGAAACGACTGAGTGCGGGGGACCTATGCCGTGTGCTCCGCTACGGAGACGACTCACAGCTGCCAACCCCCGGCCTGTTCTTCTACGCGCAGAGCATGCCGGTCGTGGTGACTCGGAACCAGTTTGTCGGGCTGAAGGTGGTCAACGGCGCACCTTTCAAGGCCGTCGACATCTTTCCCGACCTCGCCGCCGGCACCATCGCCCTCGCCAGCGATGTGACTCTTCATCTTGGACCGCCGGTGGCCGTCCTCCTTCAGTCGGACGATAGCGCGGACCTCGCCATCCCCGGGCTCCCCAATGGCACCATTTTAATCAAGAGCAAGACGGTCGCCATCCCGAGCCAAATGCGGGGCAAAGAAGGCAGATGGAGGGGCAAGCCGGGTTTCAGGTGGGTCACCCACCGAACGGGGCCTCTTTGCACCCCGGCCTTCGCTATGACAGATCAGAAGAGCCAAGGCAAGCAGTTCTCCAACGTCCTCATCAACCTCAAAGGCGTCCACTCGAGTGGCACGGCGACGCGGCCCAGCTTCATGAGCCTGTACGTGCAGCTGTCGAGGGCGCAGAGCTGGGACGGGCTGCATCTGTTTCGGAAACCGGCGCGCGGTGACTTTATCGAACCCAAGAACGTGCTTGATAAAGACATGAAGGAGGCCATCCTCAAGCGGGAACGACAGGGCGAGAAAACCAGACGGCGGTTCGAGCAGGACCACAGGCACGAACCGTGGTTCCAGGAATGGGACGCCATGGCCGAATCAGCGCAGGCCACTGAAGCCGCTGACGAACAAGCGGGTGCGTCGCTCTCGTGGTATTAGTGGTATAGTCAACCCATAATAGATGTCGATCCTGAAAACGTCATTTTCGCCGCTTTTTGACAGAAACGGTTCGTGCACCTCCACCGCCAAGACCAACTGCGAGATGCTGATTCGAGGAAGCAAAATGCAGATGACGCCAGACTTCGAGATGCTATCGAGAGAAGTCGAAAAGGAGAAAAAAGCCAAAATTCTACAGTGAGAAGTCGACAGTACAGGTTAGAAATGACATCGTTTTGTAGGGTTTTTTTTGGGGTTTTTTTTATGGAGAAAAAACTGGTCCGTACTTAGAGCAGGCCATGGCATTTTTGACCTAAGGAACCTGGAGTTCCTCCAGGCAAATGGCAAAAGAGGAGCCGAGAAAGCCGAGAAACCGGCAAAAGTGAAGCTGATCCGATCCAGGCTCGAACTGGAGACCTTCAGTGTGTTAGACTGACGTGATAACCAACTACACCATCGGACCTTGCTTGATGGGCAGGAGGTTTGCAGGTGTTATTTTATCGCAGCTTGCTCGTTCCGCCGTTTCATGGGAATCCCAATCCCACAGGAGTGACCGTGCCCGCTGCGCGCGGGCACGCCAAAGGAAGCCTGGAGGAACTTGCCGGCTGCAGGTAGGCCCCATAGCGGAGTCAACGATGTAATTGTCTTTTTTTTTTTTTTTTTCATTTCATGATGGTTATTGACGAATGCTGGGAAAGTAAGGAAACGTGGTTTCTTCAGTCAGACTAGCGTCGAATCGTACAGTCGCGCCCTCTTTTTTCCCGCTGTAGACCTCTTGCTTCTGATTGGCTCGGGAGAGGGTTATCGCCCGTTTGGCGGGATCCCAATGGTCCTGTTCTTCGGGGACTTCTTCCAGTTCGACCCCGTCCTGCAGACCAGCCTCCTCTTGCCGGCGCCCAGGGACCGTGGCGGACAGAGACCGGAAAGCTTGGCGAAGCATCTCGCAGCGCACAGGCTGTTCCTCCAGTTCACAACCGTTGTCATCCTCCAGGAGCAGGTCCGCGCGGCTGGTTGCCCAAGGCTTCGGGGTTTCCTCGGGCGCCTGCGCAACGGCGAGCAGACCGAGCTGGACTTTTAGCGGCTCAGTCAACGCCTTTATACACCGTCGTGCAAGGCGTCCTTCGTAGACGGTCTGAGAGCCATCACGCCCCTGAACCAAGACCGGTGGGACCTGAACATGGCCGCCGTTGTCTAGTGGGCTCGTGCCCACGGCAAACACATCTCCATCTTTGTGGCCAAGCATGACACCGATTCGGGGAAGCGACTAAGTGTGGAAGAGCTGTGCCGCGTGCTTCGCTACGGAGACGACTCCCAGTTGCCAACCCCGGGCCTGTTCTTCTACGCTCAAGGGATGCCGGTGGCGGTGACTCGGAACCAGTTTGTCGGGCTAAAGGTAGTCAACGGGGCGCCTTTCAAAGCCGTCGACATCTTTCCCGACCTCGCCGCCGGCACCATCGCGCTCGCCAGCGATGTGACTCTTCATCTTGAACCGCCGGTGGCCGTCCTTCTTCAGTCAGACGATAGCGCGGGCCTCGCCATCCCCGGGCTCCCCAATGGCACCATCCTGATCAAGAGCAAGACGGTCGCTATCTCGAGCCAAATGCGGGGCAAGGAAACCAGATGGAGGGGCAAGCCGGGTTTTCGGCGGGTTACCCATAGAACAGGACCTCTTTGTACGCCGGCCTTCGCCATGACGGATCAGAAGAGCCAGGGAAAACAATTCTCGGACGTCCTCGTCAACCTCAAAGGCGTCCACTTTGGCGGCACGGCGACTCGGCCCAGCTTCATGAGCCTGTACGTGCAGCTGTCGAGGGCGCAGAGTTGGGACGGGCTGCATCTGTTTTGGAAACCGGCGCGCGGTGACTTTATCGAACCCAAGAACGTGCTTGATAAAGACATGAAGGAGGTCATCCTCAAGCTGGAACGGCAGGGCGAGGAAACCAGACGGCGGTTCGAGCAGGACCACAGGCACGAACCGTGGTTCCAGGAATGGGATGCCATGGCCGAATCAGCGCAGGCCGGTGAAGCCGCTGACGAACAAGCGGATGCGTCGCTCTAGTAGTATATAGTATAGTCAACCCATAATAAATGTTGACCCTGAAAACCTCATCTTTCGCCACTTTTTGACAGAAATTTGATTTCTTGGTTCGTGATTGTCGAGGATTGCGCGACGGAGGCACGCAAAGGCACGAGTGAAGCAGCGAGTCCCAGGGGCCCTGATGCCAAGGTGCGGGGAAGCGGCTTTTTTTCCGGCAATGTTATTGGCCAGAACAAAGCAACAACGGTCCGTGCACCTCCACCGCCAAGACCAACTGAGAGATGCTGATTCGACGAAGCAGAATGCAGATGACGCCAGACGTCGAGATGCCATCGAGAGAAATCGAAAGGAAGAAAAAGCCAAAATTCTACAGTGAGAAGTCGACAGTACAGGTTAACAATGACACCGTTTTTAAAGTGGATTTAAAGTGGATTTAAAGTGGATTTAAAGTGGATTTAAAGTGGATTTAAAGTGGAAAAAAAGTGGACAATAGTTCGAAAAAGGAAAGAAAATTGGTCTGTGCGCTTAGAGCAAGCCATGGCATTTCCGACCTAAGGAACCTGGAGTTCCTCCAGGCATAACCTCTCCGCAGTTTGCACCACTGTTAAGATATCAGGTAAGCAAACCCGTCATTTCCAAGCTTTCCAAGCTTCGGGGTGCAGTTTAGAAACGAATGAGATCCTGCTTGATTGACACTGCAGACTGTTGCATGACTGTCTCGGACACTTTAGTACACACCAACACACCACGACATCTTTCGGCCCATGTGGGCACAAGGAGAGAGCCGACGGTCCCATTTGAATGCTGCCATGCCCTTCCTTGCCTTTGTCATCACTCGTACCCGAACCGGATGGACGACCGGCAATGACACGGGCCCGAAGTGGGCCATGTCTCGGAGCCGGTCCGGCCAAGGTGCCCCACCCCGGCCGCCGCAGTTTAATTGCCGGAGAGCCAATCGAGGGGATCCGTGCGAGGCCCCTTTTTACGGCCGCTGATCACCACGACCCGCACAGAAGCGATTTCTTCGTCGTGTGTGCGCCGCGGCCGCTGCAGGGGGCCGCGCAGTGTCGCAGCACAGATCGATGCCCGGCAATGACACCCGGTCCGCTGCACCCGGCCCTTTTCGAGACCCCTTTTCAGACCTTTCCTAGGGTTCCCGCTGGCACAGTTGCGGCGGCTAAAATAATGCCACCCACGCTTCCTTGAAACGTTCTCCAGGTTAGCAGCCCACTCATCTGGTGTCCCGACCACAAGGCCAGGCACTCAGATCTCACGGGGTTACGGTTTTGATGTTTCGTTTCTCGCCATGTGCACCATACCATCTGTGTCTGCAGACCTTTCCTCGTGTGTTCGCAGCCGAGAGGGAGGCCCATGCCACAAGGAACTTGACAATTGGAACACCACGTCCCACGTATATTAGAACTACTCGGCCGAGCCTTGACTTCTGCTTTCACGCCTCATCCATCACTCGTTCTCATCCCGGTCATCCAGCCTTCGGTTTCCGTCACTCCTTTCGCTTCCCAATCCTGGGCAGGACCCTTCCACTCACTTTTTGTATATATATATACCCACATACACACACACCACGTACATACCATTATTAGTCACTCCTTTATAATGCACCCCGTCTCCCTCTTCGCCCTCCTCACCGCCAGCGCCTCAGCCTCCGTCACGCCTGTCACCCCTCGCCAATCCGCCGTCAACCAAAATGTCATTCCCAAGTCTTTCGGAGTGACAGCCGGCCAGGGCAAGGACCAAGTCCAGGTTGGCAGTTGCAGCGGTGCCAACAACAAGCTGATTCCCTGCTATTGCCCTCCCGCACCCGACAGCCCCGAGTTCCTCTCGAAGCTCGCTAAGGCCCTGGCCGATGGCTTCATCTTCAGCAAGGAGCAGGTCGCCGTACCCATCACGCTCGAGAAGTTTAACGACGACTCGGACACATCGTCGAGACCACCAAGCTCCGCGCCACCGCCATGATCCAGGTCATGCAGAACTTCAACCTGACCACCCAGGGCGTCGGCTGCCCAGGCGTGGCCGTCCCGGTTCTCGGCCAGATGCAGCAGACTGGCATCATGGCTCGGAGCCTCGGCTGGTTCGGAAACGAGGGCAAGTAAACATGGCTAGGTTTTACTATCCGCTTTTGGCATCGGCAGGAGAGAGAGGCAAGCTTGACAACCACATTCGTTTTAATTCTTCACACAACACTCCCTTGACACATGGCAACACTCGTTTCGGCATCCGACACTCGTTTTAATTCTTTACATGACGCTCCTTCAACACATGGCAACATTCACTTTCGGCACGACACTCGCTCTTCGTCACTCGTTTTTACTACTACCTTCGTTTTACATTCGCATTGCTCGGCGTTCTTAATGGGCATAATACGGTCGCTTCTTCTTCTTGGGCTGCTCGGTTCTTTTTCTGCTTTTGCTTCTGAGCAGCCGTCCATTCCTTTCGACAAATTCTCACTCGTTTACGGACTTACTCATTCTTTCTTAATACAATGACTTCCACGTCCTTTTTCGGTTAATAACTTTCTCGGATGGCTCACTCGCTGCCTCCGTTTCTTCGACATTCTTTTAATAATTATTTACTCTTCTCGTCGCTCTTTTGCCCAAACACTCCCTCACTCTTTTGGGTACTTCTTTTCGGTCATTCATTTTCCGGTCATTCTTCAATTACCCGCTTTCGACCTGTTCGCCATACCCATTCATGCACTTCCTCAACTTTGCCTACAACCACTCTTTCGGCAGCATCTTCAGTCACTCTTTCAACTATCACTTTGGCTGGGTTTCAATCGTTTCACCAACCGCGCTTTCGGTCACCATCGGCCACCAGCCACTCTCACTCCTTTGCCCATCCGCTTCCTGGATAGCCACTCTCTCAAATACCCTCCTTCACTCATTTCGGGTCGGCTTTCAGTCAATCTTTTACATTTTGATCGCCCTTCTTTCAACACACGATCACTCATTCTATGGCCATCCTCAACGAACTACTGGCCTATCATGCTCACATTCATGGATTTATGCTTTATGATGCGGACGCCCTCTTATTGTACTCTCGCTTATAGACATTTGCTTTTGGTCCTGTATTCTCTGCTGTAGTTTTCTCACACATTCTTTTGGCCCACACATTCTTTTGGCCTCGGAGTCAGGGGCGGATGCAGCATGGGATGGCGCTGGGATAATAGACTTGGATTCATGTATTTATTGCAGCTACGCCTTTATAGTATTCATTAACGCGTTTTCTCCACTCGGTCACAGTTACTGACTGGCCTCTATTGTTGGACAAGCATTGTCAAAAAGGAGTATCGTGGCCCACACTCCGATTCAAGCTCTTTTACAAAACGGAACACGAGGGTGGTTACTGCTTTGACAGAAACGTCCTAAAGCCTGGGGATGTTTTTTAAACTGCGTCATGTTCATCATCGTTTCGTGTTAGCATTCGCCAACACCCCTGGTCCCCCCGTTTCCAGAACCTGAGAAACGACATACTCACCATTGTAACTGATATTTCCCCTAGGAGGAAGTCCGCGGTAAAAAACAAAGATACCTCCAATGAGACGGCAAATGGCATAGGAAGAGGCCGTCGAACGACTAACCGGCTACATGGCACAATTCCGAGAAGAAGGCTGGAACAAGGGTGAGATCACGGGCTTTCTGCCTTACGGCATGTGCGGCGGCATGGCAAACATGAGCCGACAGTCGCGTTTCTACGTACCGAAATCGGATGAAGCCACGCTGCATGACCACCCATTCACCGGCAGAAGCAAGGCCCTCTATTGTTAAGAACGACGAGTTGGAGATTGTGGCTATCGTTAAAAGTCTTGCCAGAAAGACTATGCCTTATGGCCTCCCTTCGTCCTCGCCCTCGTCCTCATTCTCCCCTTCCTCCTCCTCGTCGTCCTCTTCCCCCGGACCCTCTCGGCAGGACAGGCTCACGGCCGGGCCTCGTCCTACTTATTGCGCAAAAGACCACACGGCCCAATGTTGTAGCGGTATGGCTGGGAGACCAGATAAAGGGGAAGGGTAATGGCAACATCAAGGGCAACTAGAAATCGGTATGGATAGCGGCACATGGGTTTTCACAACGAAGTCGGTAGAAAATGAACCGAATCATCATGGTTTGCGTGCTGCGCCCGTTGCCTGAAACCTGGTGCCACGCATGCACCCAGATATGTTGCTGGTTGTTTCTGCCATCGATCGATCTGCTATCCCTCAGCTACGTTACCCTTCACCCGCCTCTCCTGTATAACCCAAGGCGGAAAGCGAAGTTTCCGTAACCCCCCTGATATGGGGCTGAAGGCGAGGCACTGAGTTATCTGATAGCCTTAATTTGTATATCTTCGACCACAAAAGCCAAGAACAGACTATCATACGGATCCTCGATTGACCCTCAGTGCGGCCCGGCCAGTGACCCAGTGACCCAACAAACCCGCCGACTGGCATCTGCAGACGATTGGCACAGCAGCACTTTCCCCCGCGGCCGTTTGTGGCAGCCTGCTTTCAGAGTCTAGACCGTCCCCAAAATATCAATCTGGCGTTGCGCCGCTCGGTGATCTGAACTTGCGTTGGTCAGGGGTGCGGCGCGGCACACTTGTTGAGACACCATCCCATCTTCTAAGATATTGCCACGATTTGCACTCTGCTCCACCTCATTGTTATACTTGCGGATGATACGAGCCTGCCTGATCTGGATGATCGGGGGTTTGACATGACCTCCGTGTTGTTCTCGTAGGATGTGAGTTCATATACACCGATCAAACAACTGAAGGCGGCGTCGAGCTTGTGCCTGGCGAGCTTGTTATTCATATTTATTCTGGCCTCTCTCTATCACGGAAGTTAACATTCACTCTTTTCTCTCCTATTCCCCAAGATACTCTGGTAGTGTCATTTATAGTCCCTTCCCCCTAATCTTTGATCAGTGGATCGCAACAACCACAGACGGCTGCGCCGCCCTTCGCCCATTTTCCGCCAACCCCTTGCTCGAACAACCCACCGATAGTCGATACCCAACTCTCCTCCCCTTTTCAGCAAACACGCGCCCTAATCCTACCAAAATGCGCGCGACATCCGCCCTCACCCTCCTCAGCACCGGTTTCTCCGCCGTCACCACCGCGAGCGGCTTTACCGCGCCGGGGACCAACGCCCTAAACCTGCGTTACGCTGTAAGTCATCACCGTCCCCCGTCCCAGCCATAACACATAACAATCCCCCCCCGCTCCCCCCTTCCCCATTCCCAATCGCGATCACACCCCCCAAATCCCACAACCCAACCCATAAACAACCGCCCAAGAATCCCACGCTCTCAAAAGAACCCCAATTCCCAACCCCCCAAAACCCAAACAAACAAACCAACAACCCCCAAACTAACCCCCCCTCTTTCCCCCACCACAGGCCCCCCTCGCCCTCCTCGCCGCAGCAGCAACCATTCCCAGCACCGCCCTCGCCGCTCCATCTCCCCACCGCGGCGGAGGTGGTGGTAATGACGATGACGATGATGACGACGACGATGAGGGTGGTCGGGGAGAGGGCAGGGGACGCGGGGACGGGAAGGGGAAGGGGAAAGGGAAAGGGGGTGGTGGTGGTGGTGGTGGGACTAATATCTTTGTTATTATCGCTGGGGGTGGTGGTAAGGGTGGTGGTAGTGGTGGGGGTGCCGGTGACGATGCCGGTGCTGTGGCGGGAGGGGGTAATAACGGGACGAACGCGACGGCGGGCGGGCTGATGACGGAGCCTGCGCGGGTGAAGAGGAGGAGGACGATGGGGTTTGTGGATTTGGCGAGGCATATGCGTTGAGGCGGTGGTTGTTGAAGGCGGTGGTTGTTGAGTGGTTCTGGGTGGGATTTGAAAGGGATAGGCGCGTTTTGTGCCTTGAGTAGACGACGTCGAGTAGTAAATAGGCCGGTATATGATTAATGTATTTAGCACCTTATACCATGTATTATCACAATTGCTTTTCCCTCTTTGCCACGGTATCGAAGGAAAACCAGTTGGCCACAGTCTCTTGCCATCGGTGCTTCTCCTGAGTTCCAGTCTCCAGGACCGATAAGTGATACTCCTGCAGTCAGACGCCGAGCCTTGTACAACATCAGCTTCCCTCCTTTCTCCTGTCAAAGACAAACTTTGGAATGAGAAGATTGATATCCAGTGGACAACTTCCCGAGCTAGACGATCCGTGCCACGCCTTAGAAGCTTCATTAATCATCTTCTGCAGGACCCCGGTATATCCTGTCCATCCCTTTTTTGCAGACTCGTTGTCGACCGGTTCGCGACGGGTGTGGAAATAATAGACGAGTAGGCGGCATCCCATACGTCGATCCCATCCAGTCGAACGACCACATGATATGACCGATGCGGTCCCACGCGCTGTGTCCGGGAAGTGACCCTGGTTCCAGCGATAAGCTACGGAGATGAGCAAATGGGAAAAATGCTCAAACTGGGCCCAGTTGAAATCGAAAAACCATGGTTTTCGAACGGGGTAGGGCGGAAACCCGTAGTCCACAAGAAGCATTATCTCGAAGGCGTAATTGCAGTCAGATTCGACAGGGATAAGGGCTGCATTGTCACCCAGAGTTGTGTGGGCCGGAAATTCATGCTTTTGAATTTGGGTTGCCTGTCCATTCTTGAATCGTACAGGATACCGTCCACGGCTTTGAAAACGCGTTGCGGTCGGTGGGGGGTAGTATTTTGCTTTCCGTAACGCTTCGGCAAGATTCCTTCTGTTGAACGAGGGATTGCCGCTTTGTACCCCGGGCGGCCACCCCGCGGTCAAGATGTCGCCGGGAGGGGTCGTTCTGCCGGAAGCAAGGTCTGCGGATAGCGTACTCCCCGGCTTCACGTAAAGGCCACTCGCCTGGGGGAGCTGTTGGAAAGGTAGACCAGGAGGTCTGAGCACAGGAGGGTCAATGGGTCAAGGCCCAGAACGTGCTGGCAAGAGATCGGTCGGCTTAGGCCGGAGAGATCACTCGGCTTAGGCCAGGTGCGGTTACATGCGGTACCACCATCGCTGCTCAGAGAGAGATATCACGGGTTTGGAACCCCCCTTACAGAGGGAAGAGGGGGACAATGACAATTGATTTTGGCAGAGTCTCATAGCATCCTAGGCTCAGCCGTGTGAATCTCATCTTCCTGTGTGTGTGACACCTTGGATCAGTGGCTGTTGGTCTTCCAACAGGAATCTTCGCGGCCATGGAGAACGTGAATAGGCGATGAGGGACGAGCTGGAACAGAAGATGCCTTTTGGGTGAGAGGGTAGACGATGGAGACATATCACTTACACGCATTCTTCGAAGCGAGATAAGAGAGAGAGATCGGCGCGCATCTTCTGATTATCATCTCCGAGTAGCGTTCCCTTGGGGCAAGAACCAGGCACATCCTCATTGTTGGAAAGATGACCTGATGTCCGAGGGCAAGTGCGCCCGAAAACTTCGAGTTCAGAGCGACGATACAGGTTTGTCCGGTTGAGAAGGAAACATACAAGGAACAGGGACATCAGTCAAGCTGCAAGGTGCTAAGGTGCTATGGTGCTAGGACAGAACATAGCACTTAGCAACATAGCGCCTGGCGTCCCATAAGGAAAAGTACGGAGATACTTCGAATCCTAGATAGTATATAGCCACTCGTTCTGGAGAGCTCTGGGAGTTCTCCAGTTAGCAATCACAACTACAGTTCGCTACAAGCTCGAGAGCCTACTGTTGAGATAAGCCTTTGTTGTGCACCCTTTGGCTGCACCGAACCTAAGCACCCTTGAGAGATTACCTTCAACCGAAGCTGAACCCTAACAGGGCAGGGTCCTGAAGTAGGTTCGTCACATAAGCGCGAGGTGTCGTTTATGAAGGTGGGGCCTTTGTCTGGTACTCAAGAGAATGTAAAAAAGAAAAACATACAACACCGAGGATTCGCTGGTCGTCACCGACCCAACTACTGATTCGGCTCTCACGAGGTTAACTAGGGGAGAGCGGACGGGATCCCGTGCTTTCTCGTGGATATGGTCGTATGTGATAGCTGAATGAGAGAGAGTCGTTTACGAGCTATCGTTTCATCATGTAGATTTGTCGTATCTTAAGAATTGGGTTCTCGCGATGATTCTGGGATGGCTGGTGCGATTGCCAATGGTGATGCGAATTGGTTGTTTTGTTTTGATGGTGGGGAGCTTGTTTGGCGGGGCATGAAGCCGACGTCATTGCAGGCTTTGCAATATCACGTGCGATGTCAAGTGTTGTATCACGTGCCGCCGGACCGGCGCTTTTGCATGCGGTCTGACTCGGGCCGCTCACCAAGTGCCGTCAGCCAATCGCCCCGTTGGGAAAGATGGGTCCAGCAATTTCAGCCAATCAGAGCATAAGAACTAACTGTCTGAACCTGGACAGAACCCCCATCCGCCACACCTAGACTCTCCTCCGACCCAAGAGCCCAATCAAGAATTGGGAATAGACACAGAGTCAGCAGCGTTAAGATCTCAGCTCAAGAAGCAGAGCTCCCCACCAATTAACAATTAATTAGCATACGTCTTTTTATCTCAGTTTCTCAGACGATTTTCTCCGGTATTCCGGGGGCTCTGGCGCTTGCGCCAGAGGTGGGGCGATTGTGTGACCTTGGACGTGACTGCAATTTGGCTGTGGCAGTGTCTTTTGTGGCACAGAACCCACTGGACCCACTATACCCACTTTTTGATCGAAATGCCTTTGAAAAACGTCTTGAGGTCGCGATTTGATCTGGGGAGGGGAGGGGAGTACAGCCGCCATACAAAATTGAACAGACCATCTTGAACACTCGTAATTATTTCAACCACCACTACTCCAGTTGATATCAAACTTTGTACGGAGTCTGGTAGATGGCACAGCCTTATGGTGGTGCCTTTTTTAATGTAATTGCACGTCGTTTTTAGTAAATGGTATAGCCAAAGCAAAAAGATGGGAGGGGAGTACAGTCTTTTCCATCTGATGACCCCCATCCCGAACTCCCAACTTTGATGCGAAAAATCTGAAGATTTTCCAGTAGTTACAACCCATGCACTGCAACCTCCGATATCCATCTCAACGCTGCCATTCGAAGTCGACATTGTCTCAAACCCTCTGATGGAAAAGAGCCGTGATGGATGCTGATGACCACTTTGACCGCGTCAGCGCGACTATCTGCACGATCACTGGCGCCAGCGTGCCTCGCCTGGGTCAGATTGAGGCCGTCAAGCGACTGGTTTACGACCAGGGCGACACAGTCCTTGTCGCGGCGACTGGCTAGTGGCTTCGGCAAGAGTGCAGTGCTATACGCCTTTTCGGCACTTACCAACAAGATCACGATTCAAATCGTCCCGCTGACGAAGCGGGGAGAGAACCAACGTGACGACATTGCCAGCAATGTCCCGAATTCAAGCCCAGTCTGGATTGATGCGGACACACACCTCAGAGTCAGCTTGCCCCTCCCCCTCTTACTGAGCCCCTGAGCCCCTGACTAACTGGTTACTCAATATAGAACACAAAAGTATGGCAGGAGATACAGGCTGGACAGTACTCTCATACACTGCTTAGCCCGGAGCAGGCGCTGAATCCAAAGTTCAAGGCGATCTTGCGAAGCCCGGCATTCCACGACAAGATCGGCCTTTTTGCCATTGATGAGCTACATTGTGTCGGCGAATGGAGGGAATTTCGGCTGGACTACACCTATCTACACACGTTGCGGCCGCTTCTCCCCCGCAAAATACCGTGGTTTGGATGTTGTAGTCGCTGGCGCAATTGTGGTTGGCTTCTGTACACCCATTCGCGATTCGAATCAAATCGTGAACTCAGACTAGTTTGGTGGCCAGTTCAATTAAAATCAATCAAAATAAGCCATTGGTTCAATTTGCCAGTGTGGGTCAATTTTGCGAAGCTCAGCTAAAAATGGCCCGCGCGCAGCGGCCTACGCCACACACAAACTGGGTCTAAGATGCTGAGATAAACGTCTTTGGGCTAACTATCCAAACTGTTGAAAGCAGCAAGGCAACGGTGTGGTGCATGTTTCACAAGAAAGACCGCACCAGTTTCCCGGTAACGTGGTGATGAAGGGTCGCTGATATCGTACGGAAGGTGCCAAGCTAAGGTACCTCACCGACCATCCCGTCCCCATCCCCATCCATTTTCCCATTCTTCCCAGCCCATAGAAGCAAGTGCCTACCATCTTCCGACTGTTTCCGCGCACCGGGCCGCCTTCCTCCGCCAACGTCCTTATCTCTCCTTCCCTGAACGCCAGCTGGCCGGCCACCCCAACAACAACTTAACCCCCTCCTTCCACCGGCCACGACCCAACCAGCCAACCTGACGTGGGCAGGTACGACACAGACACCCTCCACCAAATCCAGTGAGCGACGGGTCCGCATCCAACCCAACCCAACCTACCTCAGGAAACACCCCCCCCCCCTCCCCCTCCCATGAAAGATGGAAGATGGAAGATGGAAGATGGAAAGCCCCCGTCTTAAAACGGCGCTCCCCCAGCCGGGCCAGCCCATTCATTCCCATTCCCAACCCCATGCGTTATACCTTCCCCCCTCCACCTCCCCGTCCCCCTCCCCTCACCACCCCCGCCCTCCCCACCCGCCGCCGCAAGATAATGCTCGGCAAGCGTCTGCGCCCATACGGCCGGAGCAGCCGGAGCGGCGTCGGCGCCCCGGTGTCTCTGTCCCTGTCCCTATCTCTGTCTCTGTCCCTGTACGAGTGCCGGTCCCGGGACTCGAGGATGCGTAGTGTCTGCTGGCGGTGGTGCTCGATGTGGGTGCGGTCTAGATGGGCTTGGAGGGTGGTAAAGAGGGTTGATGATGAGGCTAGGGTTGTTGGGGTGTGGGTTGCGGCTGGGGTTACTGCTGTTCTGGTGGTGGTGGTGGTGGTGTAGGTGGGGGAAGGGGTTGGGGGGGTCGGGGGGGTGGTTGAGGTAGGGGTTGTCGGGGTGGTGGGTAGAGGGGGGAGCGGCTTGTTGAGGTCGGGGACTTGGGCTTGTCGGATCGGGACTAAGAATGGAGCTGGGGCTGCGATGCCGAGGCCTATCCCTTTTCCGGCCGTCGTTGCTTCTTGTTCGTGTTCGTGCCCTTGCTCTTTGCGTGTGTAGTATGGGGTTGTCGCCTTCGGGGACAGGGCCCGCGTCTGGTAGACTTGTTGATCGAGGTATACTTGCTGGTCGTGGGAGACTTGCTGATCGATGTTGCCTCGCTGGTCGAGGTGAGTCGGCGGGTGGGCTGGCTGCTGGGCCGCCGGGTGGCCAAGTTGCTGCAACACCCGATCGAGGGTTTCCTTGTTGAGGGAGATGCGACGTCGCAGGGCCTCCGAGTCGCGCATTCTGGGTCTCGAGGCCTTGAACTGAGGCTTCTTAGGCCGGGATAGGAGCGAGCCCATTGTCGTGATGGGTCTGGAGCATGCCTTGGAGCAAGTTAAGTATGTTGTGCGAGGGCTAGCAAGTTGGAGCTGGTGGGAAGCAAAGTTTGTGGAGAGATTTCGGTCTTTGTTGGCACCAGGGGGAGAAAGTGCTGGTGCATTATGTGCTGGCCCTCATCCCCGTCGCGGAGATTTGGTCCCATGTTGAAGATGGGGGTGAGGGGGCAGTCTGATGTTTTCAGGGACCCTAGTGTGCGCAGCTGCACACCAAGGCAAGTGGCCTCTGGCTGGATACAACAGGAAGAAGGGTGACCGAGTATTCTACATGTCACTTCAGTTAAACTTGGCACACCGAGGTCATGACTGTTGAGTGTATGACCTGTGCCTCTTTGATTATTTTCATTTTCACTTACCGGCATCTGATCTCAAAGACTCGGGTCCTCGGGTAAACTAGACTCTCTTTGAGCATCGCATCGCAGGTACTTACATGGGCAATGCGGCTCTTGTTACAAACGCCACGGGTTCATATCTCGCTTGGTCCTAGTTTTTCTTGTTATCCTCAGACATCAATCAACAACGACCACGGAGCTACCCTAACTCGCAGCACCCAAATAACTGTATGGCTTAGGCACCCCCTCAGAATAACACTCACACAAACGATTGGGAATTAATACTCAAGTTGAGACCATGATGACTTTGATTTTGTGACTTTGCTTGAAATTTGCATTCAGGTCTTTGGACACACAGCTCCAGCTTTATTCTTCACCCCAGAACTATTAACTATTTACAAAGACAACAGGAGATGTCTCGGCTTCCAAATAACAAACATAATCGCTATCTACTCTCCGCTCTACCCACGTCAATATACCCAGCCAAAGAAGGAGTCATGACGTCGTAACCCGGATATCAACAGCCTCATCAGATCCATCCCCCTGTCCTGATTTCAACCAGATATCAACAGCCCAAGCCCGGGCCAGCACACAGGATATACCCACTACGAAACACGTCAAAGAAAAAAAAACAAGATTGCAACCCCTCCCACTCCCTTCAGCCATCACTCCCCAAGCCCCTTCTCCCCACAACCACTCCAAACAACCAACCCCTCAAACATAAGCGCGGTGATGAGAATGCGAGCTCCTCCTGCTCCCATGGCGGTGACCACTGTGGCTGCGATGGCGGCTATGGCTATGCCCCCGGCTATGGCTGCGCCGCCTAGTCTCAACATAGCGCTTCTCGCTCTTGACCGCATGATCGCCATGGATCCACGCCATCACAGCCGTCACAAAAAAGAACACGGTATTCATGATCCCCAGAGCGAAGCACGCCTTGAGCATACTACACGTCTTACTCGCCGCGACATCGACGCCGGTAAAGCCCACGGAGCCGAGGATGCCAAAGTCGAGGTCAACGCTCGAGCCGGGCTGGACGGAGACGCAGTCGGCGCGGGCGATGAAGCGCAGATAGTAGACGCCGGCGATCAGCGCGCCGACAAAGGCTAGGTCGATCACCCCGACGAACTGGGCGTTGGCCGACGACCGGTGGTAGCTGAAGAGTGTGAAGATGGCCCAGGCGAGTGCGAGGACCGATACGATGAAGAGGACTAGGATGTAGGCCGGGGTCATGACGTTGGCTTCGAGGTGGATGTTGACGAACCAGGCGAGCATGCCCATGATGGGGATCTGGATGGGGGGGTTAGTGGGTTGGTGGAGGTTGTGGTGGTGATGGTGGTGAGGTATATTGAATTATTGATTGCTGCTTACCAGGGTGACGATCTCCAAGAAGCGCCAAAAGGCGAACATGATTCCGAATAACATGACGGCGGTGTTGTTGATGCGCAGTCGGTTATTTGTGCTGTTTGGTTTCCAGCGATCGCGGTTTTGAAGTCGCGGTGAGATTCGAGAATCCAGCCGGAACTGGGACTTGGTTGGGTGACTTCTGTTGGGTGCCCGATTTTCTAATTCGTGGCAAGCACGGTGAGATCCTGCTGCCGGCGCAGCCAAAGGGGGATTGGTTCCCGGGCTCCGGGCTCTCTCCCAAGTCGATTGTGCGACCCGTGCCGCCGCAAGTGCTTGTGTCGCTGTTAGGCAACTTTCAAGGTTGGCCTCCACGTGATGCGGCGAGGATAGGCTCGCTCGTACAGATTACACCGAATTGGTATATCTGGGTCCCAAGAATAAATCCCAGTGCCTCTCTTGAGAGATGCAAGCAGAAGCCTTATGACGTCTGTGCTGATCGCCCTGTCGCAAACCCAGCCCGAGGATGCAGGCAAGCGGGGTTGATTCGATGGTTGGCACAGGAACAAGCTCAGGAACCGTGCCGCTAACTGAAAGGAGCGGAAGGTGCTGACCCGGAAAGCTGCAAACGAGGAGCAACGGAAAAGGTTCAGGAATTGCGGAATTAAAGATGAGATGATTGCTTCTTTGCAAGTTAAGAAAATCCAGGAAAAGACAGACCGCAAAAGCCAATAACCCTCACCTCCACCAAAAGACCTGCCATCTCATCGTCTCGTCGAGAAAAAGAAGGCTGGGCTTGCAGCTTTTCCCAATTTAACCAATCAGCGCGAGGCCTGGTTGCTCGGCATCGGCTCCGCTGGCATAAATCCCGATGGCTGGTGTCACTTCAAATCGGGGCGCTGTGTTGTGGCTGTCTCACGCATGCTTGGCTTCGAGAAACTTGACTATGAGTTTGTCCCATCTTCAATCAACGGTGCAACACCGGAACCTGAGCGCCTGAAACATCTCGAAGAACCGGCCCCACGCCGTCCGCCTCCGGTTCCCGGACCCACACCGGCCGCAGCGCCGGACCGTTCCTTTTATGGGCCCACTGACAATGCCGGGTATTAGGTATCCTGTGAAGAATGAGACGCCATCCCTCAATCGTAGCTGGTACAAAAACTCTCGGCAACAAATGATCGAGGGGACGGAAGTGTTGGGAGACCACTCTATACTTATGTAGAGGACAGACCGAGGCTCTCCGTAATGTTATCGCCCGTTATCAGTGTTTCCTTATCGCTGGACGACCTCCCCACCTTCCTAGCATGGGGATGCCCCCACTGTCAGCAACACTCGAAAGCGGGCTTCAGGGCTCGGTGATAAGTTCCATGAAACGGCTGGATCGTCAGGAACTGCCATGCTTCCCCGCGGCGACGGGCGCATGGCAGCGGCGGTAACTGCCCGGTAGGCACTGTAGCCATCGGCTGGGCCCGCCCGATCTCTCAGGTCCGTGAGCCCGGCTCCCCGGGAATGGGAATAGCCATGCAACACATTCCCATCGAAGCACATCCTGAAGCATGGAGGGTTCCACTTTGCCTCTGGGGGTTCCATTCTGCTACTTGCGCTGTGGATCCCGCCGAGATACGGAAACAAGATAAGCGCTCCTGGTTACGCTTGGACATTGAACATGTGCGTGGCATGCGACCAAGATGGGACCGCGGATTGCCATTAAAAGCTCGCTCTCAGGGCTCGTGACATTACCGGGAATATGTGATACCCCCTGGCAATTGGACGAAGTCTCTTTCTTCCGTCTGCATCACTTTCCGGGTCGAGTCTTCCTGCAATTCGGCCACTGCCATTCTCCTTCCACTCACCATGGATGAAGACCAGATTCCGTCCCAAATTCTCCCGGAGCCGGCTCCGAAGCGGACCCTCGGTTCTCGATTACACGCCGTGAAGAGGACGCTTCTCACGAAAGAAGGCCTCATCGGCAACTACGACTATGCCTTCCTCTTCCGTCCTAATCTCCCTTTCATGAAAAAGGCTGATCGGCCGCCACCCTTCTTCGGCCTCAATGACCGGATGCCCGTGGTATTGGCCCTACTCCTCGGCTTCCAACATGCACTCGCTATGCTGGCCGGCATCATCACGCCGCCCATCATCATGGCCGGCGCCGGCGGCGTCAACCTCAACACCGAACAGACCCAGTACCTGGTATCCACCGCCCTGATCGTGTCTGGCATCCTGTCCACCATCCAAATCACCCGCTTTCGCATTCTCAAGACCCCCTACTACATCGGGACGGGCCTGATCTCGGTGGTTGGCATCTCCTTTGCCATCATCCCGGTCGCCTCGGGCGCCTTCAGCCAGATGTACGCCAACGGCTTCTGTCCGACCGCTGAGGACGGCACGCCGCTACCGTGTCCGGATGCCTACGGGGCCGTACTGGGCACCGCAGCGGTCTGTTCGCTCCTCGAGATCCTCATCTCGTTCGTGCCTCCCAAGGTCATTCTGCGCATCTTCCCGCCTATCGTGACGGGGCCGACCGTCATGCTGATTGGCATCAACTTGATCGCCTCCGGTTTCAAGAATTGGGCCGGCGGTTCTGGCCCTTGCGCCGACGCGAACCCGGCCGAGTTTTTTGCCCTGTGCCCTGATATCACCGCACCCCATGCCCTCCCCTGGGGCTCGCCCGAGTATCTTGGTAAGCCACTCTGGAATCTAGGAGCATGCATCCCCTGACTAACAACCCCCAGGCCTTGGATTCTCCGTGTTCGTGACCATCATCCTCTGCGAGCGCTTCGGCTCGCCCATCATGAAGTCGACCAGCGTGGTCATCGGCCTACTAACAGGCTGCATCATCGCCGCGGCGTGCGGGTACTTTGACCGGTCCGGCATCGACACGGCGCCCGCGGCGTCCTTCATCTGGGTGCACACGTTCAAGCTGTCCATCTACGGGCCGCTGGTGCTGCCGCTCATGGCCGTCTTCATCATCTGCGCGTGCGAGGCCATCGGCGACATCACGGCGTCGTGCGACGTGTCTCGCCTCGAGGTCGAGGGCGACATCTACGAGAGCCGCATCCAGGGCGGCGTGCTGGCCGACGGCGTCAACGGCCTGCTCGCCGCCCTCGCCACCATTACCCCCATGACCACCTTTGCCCAGAACAACGGCGTCATCGCCCTCACCCGCTGCGCGAACCGCTCCGCCGGGTATTGTTGCTGGTATGAACCCCCCCCCCAAACACCCCATCGCCACCTCAACCACTCTAACCCCTCCCCTTTCAACAGCCTCTTCCTCCTCCTCGCGGGCATCTTCACCAAATTCGCCGCCTCCCTCGTTGCCATCCCCTCCGCCGTCCTCGGCGGCATGACGACCTTCCTCTTCACCGCCGTCGCCGTCTCGGGGCTCGCCATCGTCGCCAAGGGCGTGCCCTTTACGCGGCGCAACCGTTTTGTGCTCACCGCGGGCCTGGCGCTGGGGTATGGCGCGACGCTGGTGCCGGATTATTTTGAGGGGGTGTTCCGCGGGGTGGCGGAACAGGATAAGGCGTTGAGGGGGTTTTTGGATGCCATTGCGTTGGTGATGGAGACGGGGTTTGCGGTCACGGCGTTGGTGACGGTGGTGTTGAATTTGGTGTTGCCGGTGGAGTTGGAGGAGGGGGAGGAGGTGAGGGCTGGGGAGGGGGATAGTGTGGTTGGTGGTGGTGGAGGTGGTAGGGGGAGGGTGAGGTCGGTTGATGAGGGAGTGGTAGGGGGGAGGGGGAGTGGCAGCGGGGATGATAGTGGGGAGTTCAAGGGGGGTAAATCTGCGTAAATCTGCTTAGGGGGCGTTGAGAGGGTTTGCTGTGTGTGTTTGGATACCCGGTTGGTTATGTGTGGTGTTGGTTTAGTGCATGAGGTTTGGGATACGGGATGATTGGAAATGTTTCTCTGTGTTACTGTTGAGATATTAGGAATTGTGGAAGAAACTTCTTGGATATTAAGAATTATGGAGGAAACCTCTTGGTTACCAAGAATGATTATAAAGAAGCCTCTTATACGACCCAAGTACTCTGATCAAGCCGCCTCCAACGAGCCCTCGTGTCGATAATACTCCTGCATCGACACATAATGATCCGCCAGATGCCCAATACTCGACGCCATAATTATTATTATTATTTCTCTTATCACGCTAGGTACTAAGTACATGCGGTCCCTCAGCAATTAACTCGGTAGGAAAAACCATGCCTAAGCTGGATGAAAACCTCCGCACCTTCGTTGCGGCCTTGCCGCTACCCCGTGGATCCATCTCCTCGAAAGGGCTCACCCACCTTCCGAGGTCAAAGTAACGAAATAGATAAAATGAGTCGTAACCTCTGTTCCATCGATGCCCTTCTGCTACTCCGCTTCGGCCCCGCCGCGGGCCTCTTCGTTGTTCTCATTTTCCAGCTCCACCGCCAGCCGGAACTCGTTCAGCCTCCCCAGCCCAAGCACCCACCCCACCACTATGGCAGCCTTCTCCACGTCATCTAGCCACTCCAGTAGCTCTGCGCCGTCGTCTGGCCAGGGATGAGGTTTATCTGCGGCTCCGTTGCATCCGAGTACGAGGTGTTCGAATGTCTCGCGCGCCATACCGCAGCGGCATACCGGCGTTACTACCTCGGGGACCCTCCTAGTAAAGAGGAACCCTCGAAGCCCAATCTTCCCGGTCCTCGCTTGCACTAGGAGAGTACTCTTCGCCTTCGATAGCTCCCAGGCTGGGTCCCTCGACCGGTGTCGGTTCATGATAGAGGCGTCGAACCGCGCGGTCGCATCGGCCGGTTCGAGGGCCCGCCCCGGGTTCCTAGCGACCACCCTAGCTACCTCACTCTCCCATCTTCCAATCCACTCCCTTCTCATTGCCTCCTCCATCCACCTCTCGAGCTGTTTCTTGTGGTTTGGTACTGGGCCGGTTGACCCTGGCTCTAGCTCCTCCTTTTCCGGCCTCGACTCGAGGGGGGCCCACTCCTGTGCCCACCTCTTCTTCCATTCGCCTGAGCCCTTTTCCGCTGGTGCCGTTGCTATATCGTCTATCTCCCGCCGAGGCCCTTCCTCTCCCCCTTCTGCGCCTCCGCCGCAGGATCGCAGCGATTGTGGCAGGGGTCTGGCGGATTAGCCTCGCCTCCTCTGATATCCTAACCCGATCCTCGAAGGCAAGGAGCCTCCTGTTGAGGTACAGGTCGATGGGTGGGCAATAGGTTTCTGTCTCCAAGCTCCGTATTGGGGTAGCCTTGTAGGCCCCAGCGACCACCCTGAGGCACTCCGATTGGATCTTTGCGAGTTCCTTTGCGGCCCCGCGGGGGGGGGGCCCCTACCTCTGTAGGGGTGTGGAAGGCTGAGGCTCCATACGCGATCGCACTGCGGATCACTTTCGAGTAGATCTCCCTCGCCCTCGCGAAGGTACACCCCCACGTCTTTGCGGCGAGCCTTGTTAGGGCACAGGTCTGGGTCTTCATCTTCTTCCTCACCGCCGCGAGGTGGGCGCGGTACCTCAGCTTCCTATCGAGCCAAACCCCAAGGAATCTAGCATCCTCAACTGGTTTCAGCTCTACCCCCCCGATCGTTAGGGTCTTCTCGATCGGGACCCTTGCTCTCGAAAAGTGGATTAGTTCGCTCTTCGCTGGCTCGAATTCCATACCCCTCTCTGCTGCCCAACCTGCACAGTGTCCCCAGGCCTCCGCTAGGATGCCGCAGGTACCCTCCGTCGTCTCCGCTACGGCCAGGATATTGGTGTCGTCTGCGAACCCTACCACGATTGCCCCCCTTTCGACGCCATAAAAAACGCCAGGTTATCCGCAGAGCAATGGAACACGGCGCTCTCCAGATCCAGCATCATGATTCTCCCATCCACGAGTTGAAAGTTTGACAAGTTGCTGTCATCCTGATGCACTCCAAATGCGTGCAGTGCTCGATAACACGCCTGGAGTAGAGCTGACAGCTCTTCCAACTCCATCGTTGCACCCTCGGGCGAGGAGAGTGAGGCGCCTCCCAGCTGCTCAACCAGCATGGCTCTTGATCCATTGTAGCGTAGACAACCATAAAACTGTGGTATCACTACACCCTGTAGAGGCTTTAGCCGGCGGTAAGCCTCCACTTCAGTGTGGAAATACTCCGCCATGATTTCTTCCTCTTCGCCAGGTTTCTGCATCTTCAAGTCTACGCGGTCCGGCAGAAACCATTCTGGAAAGGCCGTTTTAACGTACGGCCAGAAAAAAGCGGGCAGGAATCCGAGAAGCCAGGTGATCAGGACGGCTACGATGGATGGGCGAATCTGGAGTCCGAGAACATGTGGGTGGATGTCAGAGATCCCAGAGGCCGTGGCTGAAATGTAGCGCGTCCTGAACCAGAATTTCTTTGCTCGGGACCATCTGTCAGCGAGGGTAGATAACCAAACCATGGGATTACTACTCACGACCGGCTTTGTTGGAGGCTCCCGTGGGCTTGATCCGGCGCGAGCTGCGGACAGCCGGTAGCGCTCGGGCTCCCCAGGGCGTTTGTGCTTTGGTAGTCGGATCTCATAGTTGCCAACTGGAGGGGCGGCCGGCTGGGTGTTGTGTGCATCTCATGAGGAAGGAAACGCGTTGAGTTGGTGTTGCGTGAGAGGTCCACGCAGGGGTTTTGACTCGCCCATGTGTCACGCGCTCAGTTCAGTCAGTCGATAGTGCCAAAGGGGTTTGTTTGTTTTGGAGCCACCCCATGCATCCCATTTGTTACCTATTATGCCCGTGGGCGGGATGACAGATAGGTACTAAGCTCAAAGGCAAACCTACCTGAAATTAGCTGGTATCGCCCCTTTGTCGTGCTTAATCTTGACCATATTTCCTACGGACAGAACACGCACGGCTCAACTGGCTTGCTATGTGGGACCGCCGACGAGGTTCGTCCCAGTCTATTGCATTACATTATTACTTACCAGTACCAGAAGCATCATATACACATATCCCAAAAACCACGCCCTTAAACCCCCGGGGCCATCATCTGTCCTCACTATACACCCCCCATTTCCCAAACTCCACCCGCACCGGCACCAATCCAACGCCTCTAACCCACTCAAATCCATTCCCAACCGTACCACACCCAAAACCTCACGCAGCCCGGCAAGCCGAGCTTGTTGTTGGTCTTGCGGGTCATGACCTTGGTGATGGCGTGGCGGATGGTGACGCCAGCTTTCTCGACGTCCTTCTTGGACAAGCCCGACGTGACGCACACCTTGAGCGCCGGCGTGACCGTGTACGTGTTGGTCTTGAGGCTGGCGTGCTGGGAGATGGGCATGGTCTTGAGCCGCGTGACGAGCACGCCGTTGGCGAGCGCCTGTTCGAGGGAAGAAGGGGGTTAGTCTCTTGTGCGTGTCCATGTGTGTGTTTGGGTGGAGGGGGGTATTAGGTTAGGGGGGCTTACCTCGTCGACGCACTCCTGCAGCAACCGCTCCTGGTCCTCGACACTCAGGCGGCGCGCCGCGACGACCTCGGGCTTGAACACCATGAGCATGATGGGATTCTCGGGCGCGCTGGAGCACACGACCCAGTCACTCCGGGGATCGAGCTGGGCGCGCATGAAGCGGATGTTCTCGCGGCACTGCAGCAGGATCTCAGGGTTGGATTGCAACAGGTTGATGCTCTCACTAGCCGTGACGGCGAGCATGGCGGGAAGCGCGGCCGAGAAGGTGTAGGCGGTCGACGAGACGCGCTGGTGTTCCACCACATCTTTGGCCCCCGCACAGAAGCCACCGCCTGCGCAGAGCGGACCTGCGAGCGAGCCCACAATCATGTCCACTTGGGTTGGGTCTACGTTTTGCGCCTCGGTTAGGCCCCGGCCGGTGCGGCCGAGCACGCCGAAAGACCAGGTCTCGTCAAGCATGAGGCGGAACTTGTATTTCTCCTTGAGCTCGATCTGTCGGACCGTTAGCGAAGCATATCCCGGTTCAACCTGCGGAAAAAACTTACTAGCTTGGGCAGGTTGTTGATGTCGCCAGTGGTCTCAAACAGCGCCTCGGTGACGATGAACCGCCGCGTCAGCTTCTTGCCGGCCTGCTCCTTGACCACCTTGCGCATGACCTGCTCGAGTTCTTCCAGGTCGCCATGGTTGTACCACTTGACATTGCTCCGCGAGATCTCAAGGCCACGTCGGATCGAGTAGTTGACGCCCCTATCCGCGACAATGATATCGCCTCTCTTGCAAAACGATGGAATCACGCTTGAGATGGTCGAGAAAGAATGCGCGTAGACGATGCAGCCCTCGGTGCCGAGATACGAAGCGATGTCAGCTTCCGTCTTCATGTGAACGTCTTGGGTGCCGTAGAATTGCGGGGGACCGCAGGGGCCGACACCGTAGGTGCGTAGGGTCTGGATGGCCTTCTCCTTGATCTGTTCGTTGGCGTTGAAGTTGTAAAAGTTGTACGACGCGAGGTTGGTGACTGTCTTGCCGTTGGCGAGCTTCGACTTCGGGCCCGTGGGTCTAACATGGTCAGCCGGAGTCTTTCCACCCGAGTATTTTGTGGCCCCTTACCCAACAAGTACAGGCAATTTCTCCATCTCGGCCTCCTCCTGGGCGGTGACCGGCGCCACCAGCGGCTCCGGTGTCCATTCTTCAACCAGTTCATCAATTTCCTACCTCGCCTTGGTTAGCCAATCCTCTACCGCCCTCCCTTCCAACTGGGAAAAACTCACGTCCTCGGTCAACTTGACATAATTTTGTTTCGATGTCGAGTAGCTGGGCGCGAGGAGGTATCGGATGAAGAAGATGACGAGCACTAGTTCGATGGCCGAGCGCACAGGGTCGTTCTGGTAACTGGATTGGACGTAGCGGATGAGGACGGCTGAGCCGGGCATTTTCTGGAAGGTGACCGCTGCTTCCTGGAGCCATTGATCCAGATGCGCCTGCACCTCGTGCAGGTCCATTTTTTACGTTCGGTGTGTGGTTTTGCTTGCGTGGTTGTGTCGCTTTGCTCTTGATTCTCTTGATTATGTCGGGGATAGATTGGAATTGAGAATTGACTATATGTTGGGGATGCGACGTGGTGTGGTTGCCCCTGAGTTGACTTTCCAAGTTAGATGGATCTGCGCTTGCACAGAGAAAAGAAGTTCTGGCGGTAGCTTCGGGAGCCGCGACGCGTGTCGCCGACAGAGCCGGCGGAATTCGAAGACGGGGCCGTTGCATGGTCCGTTCCACAATTTTCAGGGGAAACAACGCAAATCCATGGGTACTGGACAGGGGTCGCCCACCGAAACTTGGCAATTGAATTCAGGCCTCCAAGTCGACGGGTTTTTCAATCTGCAGGAGTAACTATGAGACAAGTGCCGAAAGAGTGCCCACATCGAGGACGTATGGCATAGATGTGGTAAAAGAAAAAAAAAAAAAGAACCACACACTTCTCGACATAACCACCCTGCTACAGAATGCGGCCATCGACCCAGAACGCCGGTCATATCGAAGGTCAAACCCCTTCTCACTTATTGAGCACACTGGGAGGGAACGAGAAGCAAGCAGCCACGATCACTGTGTTATTACCTTCTAATCAAGGTTTCAGGTGGTGGAGAACCAGGACAAGGGTAGCAAAACAAACCGCATAGATACACACGAGACCGACCGAATACAGCGATACAAGTTGATTCCACAAGAACCTGCCCCAGTTCCGTCGCCAAAGAAAAAAGAAAACAAGAAAGACAGCGCATTACGCTTGCATAGTGTATCCTCTCTTTCAGATCCGAGTCGCCTGACTCGTGCGACCGGTCGACGTATTAAACAGTGTACAAAACCGACCCCTTCTATTGCTCTCCCTCCAAGATCTCAACCTTTAAAACGCCGGGCCCACGCTTCAAATGTACATCGCCCTCTTGTCAGAACCACTCGTGGCCGTCGCTCGGGAAGACTCCGCAGTTGAAGTCCAGATACCCGAGTAACCTGGGGAGCCAGTGCCAGTGGGGGTCTTGCCACGCGTGTTATCGTGGTCCAGGCCAGTTGGCTGCACCAAGGCGGCGTCGTTTAACGGCTTCAACAAGCTGTCTGGGAGAGTGATATGCTTGCCAGCCACGACCGGACCGACAATGAGCGCTAGGAACACGACTAGCAAGACGAAGTAAAGGATAGCATAGCGAACGACGCGTCTCCTGCGGAGTTTGGTCTGCTTCATCGAGTAGATGGGAGGGCGGATTTGTCGGCTGTGGTTTTGTCAATTGCCTATCCCTTTCATACATGGACGGGGTTTTTACGTACCTTGGGCGAAGCCAGAACAGCATGATGGAGTGCAGCTTGTCGATTTGCGGGACAAGGATGATGGGGGCCATGAGGAAGAGGATGATGTGGCCGAGAACGAAATCACCGCCAAACATGCACAGCTCGGTGATCTTGCACAGATACTCACGAGCCGGCTGCGACATCGAGTGCCATCCCATTGAGTACCATTTACCAGTCCAGAACGCAATATTGGACTGATCGGTCTTGAACTCCCTCGTGAGTGTCAAAGAGATGATCAACTTGAAGATGAAGCGCTGGATGGCAATGCTCGTAATCATGCCCAGAAGGGTACTGGGGAAATCGAAGCTCTGCAGGACGAACATGACCTCGAACATGACCAAAAACACAATGACAGCGATGGCGTGGGCAATCGCGGCAAGAACAGAGCCGAACTTCTTGCAGCACATGCTCAAGACAGGGCCCATGCAGCAAGCCATTGCGAAGAAAAAGGCAAGAGCGCCGGCGTTGACACCGATGGGGGCGAAAGCGACGATGGCTACCCGGAGGAGCGAAGCGGTTGGCTTCGTCTCCGACTTCCGGACACCTGTCTGAGCGTTGATGAACAGGTAAGGGATCAGCGTCACTGCGACAAGCAGAAGGGGAGCCATGATCTCGGCCCAAAACAGGTTGGTAATGGCAGCCCGAGATACATCGGAGGATCCCTTGCTCGACGGGTCTCCCAGAGCTTTGCGCTTGTAACCTGTAATCCTCGTGCGGGACAGACGGCAGAAGGCGATCCACGATGACGCGTGCGAGCGGGAGTTGCCACGGGACAACCAACGGAGGTAGTCGCGGTAGTCGATGAAGAAGTCCGTCCACGAGAACTGGTGGGGGTTGTAGAGGAAGGGCGAGACGACCAGCGCCACCAAGGAGACCCAGAAATAAACGAGAGCCCCCTGCCAGATGGTCACTGTCGCAAACAGGAGCATCAGCAGCGTGCGAGCGCCGAAATAGATGGAGGGACCAGCAAATCGAGAGTACAGCACCCCAAAAGGAATGCGGGCTGTGGCGAACCCACGGCCTGTACCGATGTACCTGGCACCTCCGAAAGTGATATCTTGCGACACCGAGGTTGCGTAGATCTGACAGACGAAGACCTCAAAGAAGGGCGAAAGGGAACCGAGATGCTTGGCGAAACGGGTGGCGGCGCGTAGCGGGCCGCGCTCCGACAGTTCCTGCACGATAAGAGGGACGAACGAGATGAAGTAGACGAAGAAGATGGAGAGGATGCAGCGGTAAACCCAATCCATGAGAGCGTCGGTGTTCGCGCAACCAGTGGGGAATAGAGGATCCGTGATGGGCACGTCGGGGTTGTATTCGCATGGAATCGTCTCCCTCCGGAGAGCGCCGATTTGCAGCATGGAGACCATGAACAACTGCACCGACAGCATGATAAACATGTTGTTGACGTGGAAACCGGGATGGGCGTAGTAGAACGAGAGGAAGCGATCGAGCGGCAACTGCGTCCCCAAGTAATAGTACTCTCTGGAAAGCATCTGCTCGCCCATACCAGTTCCGATCTTGGTCGTGAAATTGAGAATGGAACCAAAACCAAGATCACGACCTTTACCGCACTGGTAGTATTCGCAATGCTTGATGCGACCACCACGCAAAAGAGCGTTCATACCGGCGTAAATATCTTCGTTGAGATGGAGACCCTTCTGTGCCTTGGAGACGCCGCCACGAGTCGTCATGAAAATGCCGTTGAGGAAATCAGGGTGACCGTAATGAAGCTTGCCACCGACCTGGGCGAGGGTTCTTGCAAAGAGCGTACCGAACGTCTGTTCTTATGCCGGCGGCAATATCACCGAGGATACCGATGTTCTCCGAGAAAATGTATTCGCGAGCACCCAGAATAGCGACGGGGGCGACGGAAGCGGTCTTCACTCCGGGGGTGTAGGGGGATACCTCGATCAGTCGACATCTCCTCAAACTCGGCGAGGACACTGCGAATCTTCAGGCATTCCTCGAGGTA